TTTCGAAGAAGCTGTACACATTTTTATGATATTTCGTACACCTATGTAAAGCGATAATTGTATTAAATAATCAATCACATTCCGATTGCGATAAACATAATAATAAATTGTCCGGCTTATCAGTACTGTATAGCTTCAGCCTCTGAATTATATATTTTTTCTTCTAAATTCAGCTCATACGATACAATTCGTAACGAATAAATATTTAAACACTAATGATGTTTTATTAAAGCATCGACTTATCGATACTAATGAATTTGTAAAAGATTAATCCACCATAATTAAAAATTTGATGATTTGATTTTGCTTTTCACAAAGTCCATGGCCGTGAAAAAATATGTTTAAACATTGTTGTTTTTTAATCGATATTAATAATCTAAAAATAAATTATAATTAAAATTATATCATATTAAAATTTGCAATATCATTAAATCTTAAATATACCCAATGCAAATTTACTCTTATCTATTATATTTATGGTATGATCGTGACTTGGATAAACCATAGTTGCTTTTTTATATGTAATCTGGATAATTGAAAATACTGTTTCGCTAATAATAATATTCCGTGCATAATTGCAACGAATGACGATAGATTTTGAGTATCCGATTATAATCAGCTAAATTATCGAATATTAATTATATTTAAACGATTGTTGGTGTGTACTGAAAACTTTTATAATTATATAATATTAGTGTTGGATGAAATTTCAGGTGACATTTTTTAAATCCATCGTTCTATCAGTGCTGAGCAAATTGAAACTTGACTTTTGATATTTCCGTTAAAACCAAATTAAGACATTCAGTTGCACGAGTTTATCGTCTACTCTTGTTTATTGGCACACACTTTTTTTTTTTTAAAAGACAGTGATAAGATATTTTAGAAAATTTGTATAAAAATGTTGAGCTAATTGGTTATTCAGTGGAACTTTTCAATATTCTAGTTTTGAAAGAAAAACTTAGGAATTAATTTCATTCTATCTTAAAAAAAAAACAACATATTCTCGATTCAATTAATTACCTCTCGTTCTTGTTCTTTTTAATTTCGTATATTTTCTTAAAATTTCATTATTTCGTTGTTTAGTATCTTCGGTACGGGGATATTTAAACATTTGCGAAGAGAGAAAGAGAGAGAGAGAGAGAGAGAGAGAGAGAGAGAGAGAGAGAGAGAGAGACGGATGAAGGGGCATTGCGTCGTTACTCGCATGTGCTGCTTCTGTAATATCAGGAAAAGTTTGTCCGACAACGACCAAGTGCTGTCTTTTCAGTCGAAAGAATCCTATCCCATCATTGCTTACGATCCCTCCACAGTGATTATAAGTTCTACAAGTCGTATTATTATTATTATTATTATTATTATTATTATTATTATTATTATTAGTAATATTATTATTATTTTTTTTTTAATATTTTTTTTTGTCAAGATCGAAAATAATAAACATTAGCACTAAGTTACCAGCCTTAATTAAGCTCTTCCTTCGAAATGCCATTAATAACGAGAGCATTGTAATTGTTGAATGAACCGTTAAGGTCCTTTGATTTAATTATTGATATTTATCAGCGCAACATGGCATACGAGTTATGATATATATAAGTCGGCAGTATAGCTATTGATAAGCGCTCAAAGCTCAAGTACGAGATATAAGATTTTCCATTTTTTTTATTTTATTTTTTTTTTTTGTTTTTTTTTTTTTTTGTTTTTAAAGAAGAAAGTAAAAATAAGACGTTATCACTGATAATCGCCACTCAAAGCATAAAGAATATACTTTTATTATTTAATGTAGCATTCGAGTATTTGTTTCAATTTCGTTTAAGCATTTGATTATTCTTGTATAATCTACTAATGATTTATTACTGAGAAAAATAACTTGTTTATTCAATGATTAAAAACAAGTTCAAATTATGATATTGCACTTAAGAATTATAGAAGAGATTTTAATCCCATTGAATAGATAAAATATAAAATAAAAATGATTTAAAGAAATTTGATAGATTTGAATTATTTAGGTATATATATATATATATATATATATATATATATATATGTTAATATTAGTATATAGCGTGGATGAGCGTGTGCGTAGTAATTTCATGAGAAAGAAAAGCAAACTAAAAATTATCATTTTTGTTTTATATAATTTTTGTTGATACAATAGTCATTTAATTGGTTTGGCTTATGCTCATTATCCATATAATAATAGTCTTTATTTCAACACTGTTGAAGTGACATTTACCAGGGATCGCACTAAAGACATTAAAGATCGTCAGACACCCGAAGCGAACATTATGATCTTTTAACTAAAAAATGGCGATATATATACAATTCTGCATTGAGCTCAATGTTTTTATAAGATTTAAGTAATTTAGTGGGCCTAGCATCGTCCCGAATAAATACAATATTTTCTCGAATTAAAATTGCCATTCTACATTGAAGACAGTTTAATCTTCGTGTTAGTTTTTCCCGCCCCGTGCTGCCCTGCCCCGTCCCACCTCTCCTTTCTTTTAGCGACAGGGCGGAAGAAGCGACGAGAACGAAGAGAAGAGAGAACACAAAGGAGACGAATAGCGAGGCGATGGAACAAGTGACGTAATATCATTTAGAATTCATATTACGCGCCATGTCTTCCATGAAAGAGAAGGTAGAAAAGCGGCTCCTTTTCGATGGAGGAGACGGCAACGACACCGTGAAATTACGTTAAATCTTTTGTGAACGAGCAGCAGCCACCGGAGCTTCGATTCTCACGAGGTGTATTCCATACTGAGTGGAAAAGTTGTCGGAGGAAGCGGTTAGTTGCCGCTCTTTGTCTAAAGAAAGGGTGAGGAGGGCAGCTCGAAGCCGAAAAAGGGAAAGGCGGAAATAGATGGAAATGAGAGGAGGATTGTGTTGTGCCGTAAGTATCATTTTTCGCGACATCCTGCGCTTCCCCAGCCTCGTAATATCATCCGTCGACTTACCTGTTATGCTTCCGTAGCAGTCAAAGGTATAAGCCATCGAGTCGGCCATTATTGCCGGGGCGCATCCCTGGCATTACGGAACTTATTAAATTGTAACAATTTTAATTAGTTATCCCCAAGGGTCTGGCCGACTCGGCGACCCAGCAGGCGGAATATCGAAAAAGACAGAGCAGAACAAGTGGGATATAACGGCGTTCTACAGCCCCTTTTATACTTTCCTTTTGAAAGTTGGCACACCACCTGCTCGAACATCGCCTCTGCGTATTTATCGAGCGCCACCGTCATTCCAGGCCCGGCGAGGCCATTCCCAACACACGGTGCTCTTTGCTTCCTGGGGCTCCTTCAATTGCCCGTCCAAACTTCCAAGGAGCTCGCGCACTTGCGAGTAACGAAGCGCGAGAAGAATCAAAAAACCAACTTCATCTCATCGCTCTGTTACATCCTCGGAAATTCTAGTGGATCCATCTGTTTTTAAGTTGTCGCGTATAGTCGGAGAGGGCGCTTATTAATCTTAGGTAAACAGACTGTGGATAAAGAAAGATGCTTTTAGAGAAAGGACTTTTAGAGGAGCGTGATCGTTTGTGTTAATACGACGGTGTTTAACCTAGACATCTTGTGGGCAAGTGCCATTAGTGAATCTGTTTCATTTCATAAATTTGGACAAACCTCGCGCGTATACCCATCGAGGCGGATAATTTTGTTGGTAAAATATGGTTTATCGAAATTAGCATTGAATAATTTGGTTTGCGAGCTTTCACTATAGGCTCCAACGTATTTTCGCACTCCGTCTAACACAACATAACAAAATGAAAATTAGGACTTTAATTAAAAGGCTTTAATGGTTGAGCATAAATGTGGTAATACAATTATTAGAAAAATTATGAAATAAAATTGCTTATTAAGTTTTATAAAAGTTTTCGTATTTATTTATGAGAAAAAGTAATCACGCCAAGAGAATCTAAATCAATGTTAATACAGTAACTTCAAACATAATTCTACACTCTTAAGAGATCTTATCTTATAAATACTAACGAACTGCTTCTAATTTATAGATTTATCATACTGTTTAATCACATTAACGACCAAAGTATCTTATATAATAATAACAAACTACATTAACAATTTTCAGATGTACAAACGTTAAAAATAATTGATTAAATATGTAAATATTTGTGCATTTATATAAAAATTTTAATGCGAAATATATTCCACGGACTGTAACAATCAACAAATTCCTAATTGAATTCGTGACTTTGAATAATAAAACGAAATTAATTATACATTATACATTATAAAAATTCATACTAAAACATCATTGACATTTGACATTTCTAACTTTTAGAAAATATAGATTATTTTGTTAAAGGAAAATAAATGAAAGAGTAAATGACACTTTACTATTTTATATACAAATATTGCTACCTTGTAAATACCGAAAACATTGAAAATATTAAAATGTAAAATATTTCAATGTCTTAATGATTGGTAATGATTATTAAAAAAAAGCATTAAAGTGGCAAATAAAAGTAAAAATAAAATATTATAATAATATTATAAGTGAAAAAATAAAATTTTTATTACTAGAAAGTTCAGCCAATCACATAATCACAAAATACTCACCTAAAACTTTAATCTTATCGGTTATTAATCAAATGGCAACAAACTACCTATCGATCTTTACTATCTAAGCTTCGTTGAAATTCGTATATAAAACGTTGATTGGTCGATCAATAAGTAGTTGCTTCATGATAGCCGCGCGGTAAGTATTAAAAAATACTTAATTGCTTTAAGTGGATGGAGTTAGCGAAAGGTGATGTTTAGAAAAGTAATATAATCTTCAACGTATATTAATTTCAGAAAATGAAGCCACCATTAGCAATTTTCATTATACTTACGCTATACAGCACAATACAAATCAATAGCCTAACATTAGGTGATCGACGCCGTTATATAGATAATGAAGAAATATCGGCAGAGTCTAGTGATATCAATGTATATAATTTCAATGAAATAAATCCCAAAGTTTCGCTATGGAATTTACCACCAAGAACAGTCGAGTTCATGACGAGAAGCCTCAAGGACGACTTACACGATTTTCAGCGACTCGTACCTAAGGAGCAATTGGTCACATTATTCTACGAATATCTGTCCGAGGATGAGGATTTCGGCGACGCGTTGGATTACGTGACGTCAAATGACTTTAAAGCTCTTTTAAGAGATGTCGAAGGTATGAGCGAGATCTCGCATCTTCTTCGTTTTTTGCAAGAATCAGGACTCAATGCTTACGGATTCGTCAATAAGATTAACGACGTATTGGGCATCGACAAAATCTCTCCGCCATCGCGTTTCATGTTAAACAGAATCAGTGGTGGATTGCCAGGGTTTATTAAGGACGTGAAAGCTCTCCTTCCCGTGCACGAACTTGAAGAATTGTACAGGGAAAAGTTGACGAGTTCGGAGAATTTCGCGGAGTTAATCAAACGGCTGAGATCCGCGGAGTTTCAAGGTTTCGTCGACAAATTAATGGGGCACAAGGAGATGCAACATTTGCTGAAACGAGCGGAGGCAAAAGGTGTAGATGTGCAGGCTATTTTTGACTTTCTGTCGTCCGTTTTAGGACTTAAGTTTCCACCAAGAACAGTCGAGTTCATGACGAGAAGCCTCAAGGACGACTTACACGATTTTCAGCGACTCGTACCTAAGGAGCAATTGGTCACATTATTCTACGAATATCTGTCCGAGGATGAGGATTTCGGCGACGCGTTGGATTACGTGACGTCAAATGACTTTAAAGCTCTTTTAAGAGATGTCGAAGGTATGAGCGAGATCTCGCATCTTCTTCGTTTTTTGCAAGAATCAGGACTCAATGCTTACGGATTCGTCAATAAGATTAACGACGTATTGGGCATCGACAAAATCTCTCCGCCATCGCGTTTCATGTTAAACAGAATCAGTGGTGGATTGCCAGGGTTTATTAAGGACGTGAAAGCTCTCCTTCCCGTGCACGAACTTGAAGAATTGTACAGGGAAAAGTTGACGAGTTCGGAGAATTTCGCGGAGTTAATCAAACGGCTGAGATCCGCGGAGTTTCAAGGTTTCGTCGACAAATTAATGGGGCACAAGGAGATGCAACATTTGCTGAAACGAGCGGAGGCAAAAGGTGTAGATGTGCAGGCTATTTTTGACTTTCTGTCGTCCGTTTTAGGACTTAAGTTTCCATCACAGTTAATCTTTAAGGACGAAGAGGTCATTGACATACTTTATCAAATTTGGTCAAAAGTGTCTTTAGATAATATTATCGATGTCGTTGTTACCTATTTCTTCGAAGACCAGGATTTTGGTAAAGTTGTTAAATATATGCTGAACGATGAATTTAAAAATATTTTATCGGATATCGAAGATCTTCCTGAAATACGATCAGTTTTTATATATCTGGATAAATATTCAATTAACATTTATTCGTGGATAAATGAGTTCAATGGAATATTGGGTTTAAACAAGACTTTGCCATCTCGAAACACCTATATGAAAGTAACAGGTGGTATTCCTGGTTTCATACAGGATATTAAATCACAAATACCAGTTGACGAATTACAGAATCTGTTTGATGAAAAACTTAGGACGTCTAGTAAATTTAAAACTTTTATTGATCGTCTGAATAAGCACGAACTTCAAGACGCTGTTAATGTGTTAAATAAACACAAAGGATTTAATCTGTTATTAAGGAAACTTGAGGCACTGGGTGTCGATTGGAATGAAGTAATTAAAATTATTAATGCTCTTACTGGAATCAAATTTCCAGATCGACCTTCTAATCGGCATTTCGTAAGTATTTATTTTCTTAATTTTGCTTAATACTTGGAATAAATTTTTTTTATTATTTCCAACGATTGCCGTGAATTACAAATAATGTTATTAGTAATGTTATTAACAATAGTGTGTATCTATATATATATATATATATATATATATATATATATATATAAATATGTATATACTATTAATGTATTGATATATACGTAAAGAATTATATAAATTTTTATGAATCAATGTGTATTATAAATTTTATATGCAATAAAAATCGTTTTTTTTTTATTTTAGATATAAACGGATTTTTATGTACTCAGTGATTATGAGATGATTATGATGATATGCAAAGGAAACGTTTAGAAACATCACATGAAAAATGAAACTTTTATATTTAATGTTATAAAAAATAAATATTTATTTCTTTTACGAAAATAATTTTTAATTTCCTAACTTCATGCTATGAAATGTAACCCTTATATCTGTCAAAATCATAATTAGAAGGAAATTTTTTTTTCAATTCTTCAAGAGTTTCATTATTTTTTGACTGAAAAATGAATTATAAAAAAAGTCACTTTCAACATTTCTTACATCTAAGTCTGTCGAGTTTCCCACTTTGTTGAAACGTAATTCACATGAAAACAGGTAAAAGATTCTTTGATTTAGCATGCCTTGTTTCTCCCCTACTTTTCTCCTATTCCTGTTATGTTTCTCTCTCTCCCTCTGGCTCTATGACTCTTTGTCTCTCTGAATCTCTGTCTGTCTATCTCTCTACCTCATTCTGCAGCCTCCTGCAAATTCTCTCTCTCTCTCTCTCTCTCTCTCTCTCGCTCTCTCTCTCTCTCTCTATCGCACTTCATTCCCCCTCTTCCCGTACTTACTGTCTGCCTCTTATACGTTTTATTTTCCTCCTTTATTTCCTTTTCTCTCTCAGTCTCTTTCACTACTATACGTATATATGTTTTTATTCGATATTTTGATATCTCGATATCCAGTAGTACTTGGGAAATTCCAACCGTCTTTCCCACTTTTCTCGCAGTTACTTCTCAAATTTCTCGAAGGACGATATTGAACAGGAGGACATGAATCGGATATCAATCGTTTTAGCTGCAGTCGTCGCCTTTTCCTTCGTCTTCACGGGTTTCTTTTCTCGCGGGCTTCGATCACCGCTTTTAAGCGCAATATGGAAAATTCAACACAGGCATATGGAAAAGGAACACAAAAATTCCCTTGAGCAAGATCTCAAAGATATTTTTGATATTTTCCCTTGGGACGATATACGTTTTATTGTTGGAAAGTACATTAAATTTGACAAGCAAATCGATAATACAATCACCTTTTTCAAAGACCATAGAAAATTTATTTGGAATGCCCTAAAAAAAATACCGCATTTTCAACTTTTTATATTCATTTTGAATGAACTTGAACTTAAGGTTGATCATTTGGTGGAGAAATTCGAGCAATTTGCAAGCTCACTACCCGAATGTAACAATACCGAGGAGAAAATAAAAAGCGGCGGATTATCAGAAATGATCCATCAAATTTTAATTATTATTCCGCGTGAAAAACTGCACATTTTATTATGTGAAAAAGTAAAAAACTCATATAATTTTCGCACACTGTTACTTTTGCTTAATTCTCAGCAGTTTCTACAGCTTTGCAAATCTATTAAAATGAATGCCGAACTGCAACGACATTTTTACTGGGCGAACGAAAATGGAATTGAAATTATATTTGCCAGTGAATTACTTATAAGGCTTTACATCTATTTAATACAAAATATTTATATAGATAATTACGTTAACGGCAATTGAAATAAAAATCGTATAAAGTGGATGCAAAATAGATGCAAATGAAAAAGTAGAAAGAAAAACGTTGAATAGAATTGGTTTTAGCAAGACAAATAAAGGTATAAGAAATTGTAGAAAATAAATTTTATACAATTTTAATATTCCAAAACATATTCTCAATCACAATAGTTGCGCGAAACTATTATTTTTGCCGTGCAATGATATCATATACGTAAACCCAATGAACGTCATAGCTTATTGTACTTATTATATAAGTACAAGAAAGGATTTTTAATAATATTATCGATTTTCAGAATTGCCATTCTATTTATACATTATTTCATTTTTTATATAAATATAAAACTAACGGTATGTTGTTGTTGTTGTTGTTGTTTTTTTTTTTTTTTTTTTTTTTTTTTTTTTTTGTTGTTGTTGTCGCTCTTGCTGTTGTTCTTGTTCTTTTTTTCTTTTTTCTTTTAATTCAGGGAAATGATTTTGTATAATTAATATAAGGTCCATTTATGTTTAATAAACGATTCCAGGGATCCTCCTGTCACTGCATAAATAATTGTACCAACAAAAAAAAAAAAAAAAAAAAAAACTAAAAAAATTGAAAACAGCATAGAATATAATGCTAAAAAGAATATTATTCGTTTTATAAATATTGAAAATTCGAAAGCGATATGTGTGGTGGCTTGGAAATTAATAAAATAAAATAAATAAAATAAATAAAATCAAGATGAATGGTAATATGCTACGTCTCATATTAAATTTACGTAAATCTATATTAAATAAGTATTGCAGATAATCCAATAGGAACGAAAAAAAAGCAAAAAAACAAAAAAAAAAACAAAAAGAAAAATCTGGCCTTCTCCAATCTAGCAATATTAACGGGAATACAGGAAATTGAAGAAGAAAACTCAGAAGACGAAGAAGAAGAATAAAGAGAAGTAGGAGGAGGAGGAGTAGGAGGAGGAGGATAAAAGAAAGAAAAAAAAAAAAAAAAAAAAAAAAAAAAAAAAAAAACAGGAAAGAATAGGGAAATGTGCAAACTCACTTGGAAATTCGTCAGGACGAATATTTTGAATTATAATTAAAGGCGTCGGGACTAAAAACAGTAATACTGTATCGAGATAGTGACGATCGGCCTTGTCATTATTATGTATCGCAAGAGAAAGTCGAAACTTGTCGTCAGATTCTATAGCAATGCTGTGAGCAACATCACTGGCGTCGACTCGCGACGGACTGACGGACGAGTCCTATTTCAATTTCAGCAAGTTAATTGGAATTGTTTGCAGCAGACATCCCCCACTAGTCCTTCTGCATGTTCCTCCTTTCTCCCCTTTGTGAATTCATGCCTCGTACCCCCAGCCGTCATACATGGCGCGAGGAGCCTCTGACTCGTGTGAATTGTGTACCTCCTCTCACTATTCAATCTATCCTCTCTATTCTCTCTCTCTCTCTATTTTCTCTCTCTCTCTCTCTCTCTCTATTCTCTCTCTCTCTCTATTCTCTCTCTCTCTCTCTCTCTATTCTCTCTCTCTCTCTCTATTCTCTATCTCTCTCTCTCTCTCTCTCTCTCTCTATTTCATATCCAGCTGCAAATCATCTCGCGCCTTGGTATCGCCAGTTTTAGGAATCAGTGTATTCTCAAACGGAATTAATTTAACGCGACGTTTTCAACGAAGGTACGAGCCACTTCTAAATCGCTAAACACCGAGATTCCGTTTTATCATATCACGCGGTATGCATAGAATTCCGCTCCGTGTTTTTATTATGCTCATAACATTATTATTATTATTCGTCACATCTGCCATTAATTATGATTATTCAACTATTCTTATGACGACGACTTGATTCTTTTTTTACCAACTTTTTCTCTTCTTTTCTATATGCAATTTTATCATTGCGATAAGTATTTATTTCTTTAGCAATTTTTCTATGTAACACGGTTTAATTGACAAATTCAAATTAATATTGTTAATGTAAATTTTCGGGTGCGTTTATAATCAACTATTATTTGTAATTATTCGCGCATCATCGCTCGCGAATCACCATATTAAATAATCGAGTTTCGATCATTTTTTTATTTTTTTTATAATAGTATTCTTTCTTATCAATATACACATATATATATATATATATATATATATATATATATAAATAAACTTTTCGCACAACATTTTATTGCATTGTAATGAGCATTTATTGGAGAGGATTGTGATTTTAATCGATTTATACGCAGTTAGTTCCTCGTATGCAAATTATTTGCTAACTGTAAGTGATAATAACAAAACTATTAAAACCAATTGAATAGAGTAGATAAACATATTGTCTACAAGATGGATATCGCATTCATTCGAAATTAATCAAAAGTATCGACGAATAAATACTCCTAATACATTTGGGATGAATTCGAATATAATCCCAAATATTCCTGTATCATATTCAACTCGAGAAAATGAAATTTTCCTTTGGCAAACGTAATTTAACATATACATCTAAGCGGTAACGGGATTTCGCCGAAAATTTTACAATACAAAATCATCGACTGTATTAAGTTTACATTATAGTATCCCTCAAATTTTTTTCTCCATTAGTATGGGGGTTATGCACATTAAAGAAGCTTAAATATATATTTTGATTAATTAGCTATAAATAAATACCCCTAAGATTATATCAATAATTATTACTAATGTTTATAACGAACATTAGTATACACTTGGTAATAATTATTATTAAAATTCATTTGTAATATGATAGATATTATAGGATGTCCCGCACGCATTATGCGTAAACTACATGCAAATTACCTTATCTCGCGAGAATTCAATTTTTATATAAATAAAAAGGAAAACTCTATTTAAAATTTTGATTATATAAATTTCAACTATAATACTTGAAATGAGAATTCCATGTGGATAATTAATGCATAGGGTACGATAATTTTTTTTAATAAAATAATTCTACTCGAATAAACAGGATTCCCATAAGGAGTTTTCATTATTTTCGTTAAATAAAAGACTTTACTAAAAAAAAAAAAAACTTATTTATTATTGTATATATAACCTACGTCGTCCAACTTATGCAGATTATGATTTAAGAATTAATAAGTGAAACACTTTATCAGAATCAAGCAAGTCAAACAACGAACTATTTCGCTTTAATATAATCAAATCGAATGATATTCGCAATGAACAATTTATTGTTGTTAATAGCAAAATCTATGCCAATTAAAAATATCAGCGAGCAATTTAATATGAAAGAAGCATTTCGAAATAAATTACTATTCCACTGTCGCTTCGTTATCAGAACTTCCACGGCACGCGCTAGAAAAGTTTATCTTTATCCCTTAATCCGATTTTTAGGATAATACGAGGAACAGGTAGTAATGCAGTTCTAATAATGTAGTGTGTTTATGTGTAGACAATGGCTGTGCTCTACAACTGCCACGAGCGCTGTCACTCAGATATTGAAGACATCCCAAAAGCCATGTGTACTAAACCTGATGTGTACCCGTAGTCTGGCCTGGCTTTCTACATTATTAAATACTATTCTCTCTCTCTCTCTCTCTCTCTCTCTCTCTCTCACTCACCCCTCCCGCCATTCGCCCCTACCACATCAGCATCAAGCGCGTACGTGCACGCGCACACAGACGCACGTACATTATCTATCTGTTTATCTATCTTTAGCTGTTTCTCATTTCCGATTTCTTTCAGGCTCTACGAGTCTGTGTGCTAAGGTGGGCTCGAATTCGTAAGAGGACAACGGGCTCTCCTCATTCTCTTGTCCTTACCATAACAACCTAAAAATCAATTTACTATGCTCCTCTCTTTCTTAAAATACTCGAATAATGTTCTATAGAGTCATAAGAACAAAAGCTTATGTGATAACTGAATGTGGAAATTTGATAATTTTAGACAAAGGCTTTTTTTACGGCACAAAGCCGATTATATTATTTTATCAAGCACATTCGCTTAATCTAACTATAATAGGTAAAATTATATGAGCTCTAAATAGATTATTATATAATGATATTACAACTTGTTGGAAAAGATGTAATATGGAGATGATAATTTATGCGAAATTGCGAAACGTGCGATAGCGGCACATAGCTAAGTGGAAGAGAACATTTCAAGTTGAGATACAAAGAAAGTATTCAAGTATTTGGGAAGATTGTTGGCTGATTCCCGTTGATTCCCGAATAAAAATGTAATTTAAATTTCTTTTAAGTCAAATAGATTTTAAACTTGGAATTTAGACGGCACGGATGAATATACCATTGTCAATTATATCTTCAAAGTTTTAACTTTCTTTTTATATTCTTATAAAAATAGATACTTAATAATAAATAAAAATGAGCCATTACTATTCCAATTTTGTACCATTATTATCATTACCCTTTTTTTTGTTTTTTTTTTTTTTGTTTTTTTTTTCGTTATGCATATTTGAAACATACGATACATATATACGCGCACTCAAGCACACAAAGAGAGAGGGGGAGGGGGGGGGGAGGGGAGAGAGAAGTTCATTTACAGAAAAGTCTTAAATTGGGCGTAAGCCATATTTTCAAATTCTTCATATTTTAGGTAAAAGTTTTAAGTTAGCCAAAAATTTCAATTAAAAAGTTTCTCTTTCTATTTTTCTTGCTAAAAACTTTTAATATTTTTATCATACTTTAAATCATTTTCTTAACTTTCACAATAAGATTTTACATTGCAGCTAGTCTTACAGTTTTATATAAGTTCAGAATAATGAAAATCGTAGCGAAAGATAAGTATGTGCAATAAATGTTGTAACAAACATAATGTTCATACTACACAAAAATTGCATATTTTACGTCACACACTTTAACATTGTAATAATGTAATTAATTTGACATTTCACGCGTGCCATGTTCAATTATACTCATAAAGTAACTGTACATCGAATACTGTCTTTCTTAATCTCTCTCTCTCTCTCTCTCTCTCTCTCTCTCTTTTACATTTTATTTTTGGCTTTTATTTCAACAAAGTAGGCAAACAAGCGATAATAATATCGTCAATAATATTGATTTGTCCCTAAATCTTTATAATATCTTTCTTCTCTGCAATAATGTTACGAATGAGAAAATTAATAAGTAAAACAATATTTTTGCCGTTGCTGCGTCATAACTCTTATG